TGCCTCCAACATGAGAAGCCACAAAGTGTCACCATCTTATCCTTGCTGGTTACCACAAGACTGTAGAGACCGATGTCTTAAGAGAACAGGGCGTGCCGAAGAGGTCAATGCTCTCCCCAGACACCCACAGGTCTAAATCTGCAAGCTCTACACCTGTTGATTAGCATTCTAGTACATGCATAAGCTTAAAAAAAATATTCATGGTTTAAGATGCTCATCTTGTGACTACAAGTAGCGCAATCACATGCTGTGGCTCACACACCATCAAGCCTGTGAAGCTTGATAGTTAAATCAGCTGATTTAACTCTTCTAGAGCGCGCCGTAGCACAAGGCAAACATAAAAGGTTTCGACTTGCCTTAGTCCACAATTAAAATGCCTCAAATTAGATCACACTATCCCACATTTAAAATGCAGGAAGAACGCGTGGGTGGACAGTTGCCACAGGTCAGCTGAAAAGTTAGAAAGGCCTAAGCCACAGAATCCCAACAAGCCAGACGGGCCATTCAAGTAGCAAGAGAGAAAGCACGGAAAGAGAAAAGAATCATTTCATAGAATCATAGAATCGTCTAGGTTGGAAGAGACCCTTGGGATCATCGAGTCCAACCATCTACCCTACTCTACAAAGTCCTCCCCTACACCATGTCCCTTAGCACTGCATCTAAATGGCCCTTAAACACAGCCAGGGATGGTGACTCCACCACCTCCCTGGGCAGCCTGTTCCAATGCCCGACCACTGTTTCAGTGAAAAATTCTTTCCCAATGTTCAATCTAAACCTACCCTGTTGGAGCTTGAAGGGTAGAAGAGATGGGAAATCAGAAACTTCTATGACAGAGGAGAAACGGAGAAGGCTGGAACAGGGAAGAAAGGGTAGGAATAGTGATGAAACTCACAGCAAGTCCTATTAAATACCGAAATTAAGGTGATCACTCAAATGAGGAAGAGGAAACATTTAAGCAAGAGGAAGCAGGGTATTTCATTTCTAAAGCTGCTAACCGCTGTAACGCCGCTTCTGTGTGCCTGAAGACAAGCACAGGAGAATGCCAAGAGGAGCCCTGGCACTGCTGTGGATTATCTGACACGTGCTCCTCCAGAAAGAAAAGGCAGCAGACACATCAAATGAAACAGTGCTCTCTGTCTTAGAGCCTATTTACATGTCTGCAGTGCTCGGCACAACCTCCCAGGAGAGCAGAAAGACAGTGTACTCGATAGTACGACAGAGCTCAAAACCAGAACTATCACATCTTTCAACAGAAAAATCAGTGCTGAAAACTTACCCATTAATAGAGTGGAATATTTTATCATACACTTCATCTGTAAGATTTAATCTGAAACACCAAGAAAATAGTTAAAGAACACCGATGAAATATACATATTTAACCACCAAAATGTCATCCTTATTGAACGGAAACACAGAAAATGTGTAGAAAGCATGCTTTAAAAAGAGTAAAATAGTCCCAAATCAAATGAAACATTGCACTCGAAACAGCTCTAGTAGAGACTGAGAATCCACAAGACCACAAGTAGAAGCCTATCTGGAGCAGTTCAGGATTAGGTACCCTCAGACCCCTCTGCAGACACTCACTAAATTTAACATTTACATGAGTAGAGTGGTTAATATTTCCTGTGGACCGGCAACTCCGGTTTCCAGTTGACTCCAAGAAGGGCAGAGCTGCATACAGCAGGTCACACCCATCCTCCAGAAAAGATATACTCGAGAGGTGGAAAGATGAAAAAGACCTCAGCACCAGCAAAACATCAGCAAACCAGCACGATGGCCACACTCACACAGAACAGATACACTTTTTGTGTTCAAAGCATCCAGCTTTGCTGCATTTAACTTAGTTGCCCGAATTAGAAGCCTTCGTTCATCTACGAAGCTTCTGGTCAGCAACCATTCTGAAAGCTCCACCAGCTACGTGAGGAACATTGGCTTCTGATTCAGGCACTTACCTGGTGTCCTTACTGGACTGTGTAGATACATCCTGTTGCGATTAGCATCATTTTTAACTTCTGACAATTATAATTTTAACATCTGACTTCAGCACATTTCCTATTTTATAAACAACTGTTGGCTGTGAAGCACTGTCAGTTGCGTTCCTCACTCTTGATACTTTTTACCCAACGACCAAAATACACCACCACATGGAGTTAGTGACCCATAGTTTGAGCAGAACTGGATTTTGATTTCTTCAAGAACTAATGATGGCTTTCCTCCATTAAATGAATTCTGAGACTACAGAATGTGATAGAAGACAATATGTGTATATATATAACTATGTGTGTTTGGGGGCACTATTAATTAGATTGAATATAGCTAATTTCAAAAACCACAGATGCAAATTATGGAACGTAATTTTACAGGCTTAAAAAAAAAGGGTATTTTTGAATATTTGAAGGTTATAAGAAGAAATAATAAAAATTTCATGTTCCGGTCTGCTTTTATTCCGATTTCTAAAACAGCTTGCAAATTGTGGAATCTTCAAACTGTCTTTGAGGAGCTCTAAACACACAGAAAAGCAGCACAACTGCTTGCTGTGCCTCTAAGACGATACCCTTATATCAAACCATTATTACCCACTTGTAAGGATATTAAAAAAATCTACCTTATTGGCACAACTCGGGCACCGGCGGATTCCAAAAACTTCACGTACGAAGCTGCAATATAAGAACTTCCAAATTTGTAGAACTTTTCGAAGCGCCATTCCTGTGACAATACCCCTGGCAGGTCCAAAATAAAGAAAGTTAGCACTACACAAAGAGCAAACGCTAAGCACCCAAAGGAAAACTAAACTCCCGTTTCCTATGTGGCGGATTACAGCGTTATATTTAAAGCCTGACAGAATTACAAACAATCGAGACAACGGGGGGCACCGATTCCGATGCCTGGTGACAAGGTAGCGAATACACACACACCATCAACCGTGCTGACTCGGTTTTCCCTGCTTTAACTATTCAGGAGCACGGCTTCTCTTAAGAAAATATAACGTAACACGGTTTATAAAAGCTTTAACCCACCCTAGGCTGCAGGCGCCCTTTGATTCCACACAGAAGCCGGCAGGGATTCAGGTCGGAGCCGTTCCCTCCCTCAGGACAGCGAAGGCGAAGTGCGAGGCCGCCCTGGGCCGGCCGGTAACCCCCGGGCAGCGGCCACCGGCAGCTGAGGGGCCACCGGCAGCTGAGGGACCGCCACCCTCCGGGCCCTCCCCACCTCCCCTTACCGATAATGGGTCTGTCGTTACGCTCCGCCGAGCCGCTCCGCAGGGAGGCTGCGACGGCGCCGCGGAGCAGGAGAAGGAGGACGGCAGCGGCTGCGAAGAGAGAAAGCCCTACGAGGCGCCCCATGGCCACGTCTCCCGTCAGCACGGACCGCTCCCGTCAGCGAGCGGCCCGCCAGCCCCGGTAAGGCCCGCCCGGTGCCGCGGGGCATGCTGGGAAATGTAGTTCCGGCGCGCTACGGCCTGTGTGGAAAAAATGGCGGCCTTCCGCCTGAGGGCCCTCCTGAACACCCCCCCCCAGCAGAGAGACTGACAGACGAGGCTGGTTCAGCTCCAAGGTTTTATTAATATAATGATGTTAATACGTACAAAATTAAAAAATAAAACACAACACATTGTGCATTACATTGTGCTTACTACAACAACACATTGTGCATTACATTGTGCTTACTGCCAGTAGTAAATTACATTTGCAACTTGCTTTTGTTTTTTTAGAGGCACTCCTGATACTCTTAAAAGAATAATGCACTTTAAAGGTTTTTACTTTTTTGTTGTTTTATTGACTCTGGCCCTCACAGGCGCTGTACTACCACCATTCGTAACAATACTTGTGCAATTCATTATGAAATTGTCATCGTTAACTCGTGTCCTTATCATTAGCAGCAGCAATTGTCCCTTGCATAGAGTTCCCGCCCTCTCTATAACATGTAAACATTAAAAAACATAATCACCAGTTCATGAAAAAATAACTCCACTTAGTGCTCTGTTGTCTTATGCAAACACCTTACCATTTACTGCCAGTAGTAAATTACATTTGCAACTTGCTTTTGTTTTTTTAGAGGCACTCCTGATACTCTTAAAAGAATAATGCACTTTAAAGGTTTTTACTTTTTTGTTGTTTTATTGACTCTGGCCCTCACAGGCGCTGTACTACCACCATTCGTAACAATACTTGTGCAATTCATTATGAAATTGTCATCGTTAACTCGTGTCCTTATCATTAGCAGCAGCAATTGTCCCTTGCATAGAGTTCCCGCCCTCTCTGTAACATGTAAACATTAAAAAACATAATCACCAGTTCATGAAAAAATAACTCCACTTAGTGCTCTGTTGTCTTATGCAAACACCTTACCATTTAATAACAGACTCCAGATACTTCTGAAGACATTTAAGACTTTATATTCATAGAGCTGGTGTAGTCAAAATAAAGGTCTTTTTTTTTAAAAGCAGCTAAATTTCATCCATGTGCTTATAGATCTGCAATCAAATGAAGTCCCTGATACATAAAACAACAATGATTAGAGATCGCTTTCGTAGGAAAAGTTTGAATTTTCCTGTTCATTGAAACACAGTTTATTCCTTTACGCAGTTCACATTTGAGGATTAAAATTGAAGAGGCGTAAAATGAAGACAATAGCTCTAATTCTCCAGTTCGTAAATGATTTGGAAGTTGAATTACACACTCGAAGAATTGCCAGATGCCTGACTACTTAGCTTATTTTCTTATAAAGAAGAATTAGCACTTCACTGAACTCCTCTATTTAAGGAGCTTTCATATCACAAAATAATTCAATCTGAGAAAAAGAAAGATGCGTGAAATATATGAATATGTGAAAATGTATCTGGAAAATGATTCTTTCAATTTAGGCTCAATATCAAAGATACCCTGAAAGAGAAGAATGAAAAATGCAACTTGAGGAAATGAGGGAATCAGAACAACAAAAAAATATTTTTAAAAAGCCCTTGTCGGTTTTGAAAGAATTTTGTACCTGGCATTGGCCTTACCACGGCAGAAGAACTACAGCCAACAAGTACTCTGTGGACCTGTCATAGATGTTCCTCTTGCTAATAAGGAAGACCTTCCAGTGGCTTTTGCATTAATGCAGTATTAATGATAATCTAAAAGAAGGCATTTCTGATTTAACAGGATAGTCTCATTTCTTCCCCCTAAGCATAAATTAATGTAACATCCCAATGTCCTAAAGATTCTGAAGTTAGCATTTCTAGCTACCTAAGAAACAAAATATTTGTTACGGGTTCATTTATATGAAGATTCACATGGAATGCTTAAATCTGTAATGTTTCTGCAAAGACCCCCTGGCTTATTATAGAAGAGAGTTAAAAACTGGGTAGATGAACCCTAGCAGTTGGTGTAACTAACAGAGATTTGAACAAAAAGCTGAGTGAAAAGTAAAATAATGTTTTAGATTATTAAATAGTGGGGACTGCAGGATGATAGTGCTATGCACCGTGAGTGATAGCTTTTACACACATGCACTGTTCATACCTGAATCATGTGCCTTAAAAAACATAAAAATCTGTTCTGATTAAGTACAGGGTTAGGGTTTTTTCATTATTCCTACAGAAATAAAGAAGGCGGCTCAATGGAAATTTAAAATTATATCCTCTGTTGGGCACTGGAAGAAATCAACTGGAGAGTTGCCCATTAACTTTTCTGAAAATAAAATGAAGATACCCAGCATTTCCTACACTGAGGTCCAAAGTGACCCACAAGCAGCCTTAAACCACGCAACAAATACTTCTCGAGTTCAGATCCACCAAGGATAACATACTTCACCCTCTAGAACAGATAGATACTGTAAATAGCGAACAGCTCTTGACCTCTGTAGTGCTCTACAGTTGGAATTAAAGGTGATGATAATCTGGGCTGCTTATAGCTTGTGCATAGACAGTATCTCTGATGAAAGAAAATCAGAATTTTCAAGGTTGTTTTGACTGTTTTACCAGTTCCTCCTCCTGATTCATACTTTGAATCTTTGAAGAACAGGTACATGTTTTCCCTATCTCCCTCTATAAAATTAGACAATTACTGTGTCAATTAGCACAAGAAGGGAAGCTGCACAAGCAGCAAAGATTAACACGAATGTCTCATTATTGCTGACTAATTTTCCATTTGACACAAACTAACAAAACAGCCCTCTTCCCTGTGAATCGATCCAAAAAGCAGCCTCTTTTCACTCTGTAGATTAGCCCTGTAGTCACACTTCCCCAACGAACCAGTCTACCCCATTCACGTCCTGTTGGCTTTTGTACCCTATCATCCTGACAAGCCAGGATACGAGAGCTAAGGACAAGGTTCTGGGTTGCATTATTACGGATGAGTTGTCTCCGAAGGCTTAAGCGGAGCAGTATCGCCCTCTGATACCCAATTCACTATTCAGCTTTTTTGCATAGAATGAAGGCTTAAGCGGAGCAATATCGACATCTGAATATCCAATTCACTATTCAGCTTTTTTGCATAGAAGTTAATCCATTACAAACAGTATTGCAAAGGCGTAGAATTCATTAATCTCATCAGACATAGGTACTAATAAACTCCAGTTAGTATAAAAGTGCGGTCAATATAGTACCCAGCGCCCTGCGAAGACATAACGGGTTTCATTTACAACCATTTGAAGTTTAAATGAAAGATTTCATCTTAAACTTATTTCCATTTCCAGTGTGCAGGAATTGATCTAATACTCCAGTGAGATTATTCCTGGGCAACCAGCGAAATGCTCTGAAGATAATCTGCAGATGCCATTATAAAGTCAGTCCATTCCTTGGCCAGCTCTTCCATGGAGGCTTCCTCCCCCCCGTATTCCTGTGGGAGAATGCTGACCGGGAAGTGTTCGGTCAGACTCTGCATGTAGTTATTTCCATGCATAAACACCTAAAAAAAACATGAAAAGTGTTTAGTTGGGTATGAAAGCGAGACTATTGAGGTAGCAAAGAAACTCCGGGCAAGAGCTGAAGCCGTGCATAAACACCTAAAAAAACCCATGAAAAGCGTTTAGTTGGGTATGAAAGCAAGACTATTGAGGCAGCAAAGAAACTCCGGGCAAGAGCTGAAGCCACCAGCCGAAGCCACCAGCTCGGTTCGACTAAGCAAGTTCATAACAAGCTCCTTCAATGAAGAAAGTAGCACCACTCACCTTCAGTACTGTGTCCAGTTTTGGGCCCCCTACCATAAAAAAGACATTGAGGTGCTGGAGCGGGTCCAGAGAAGGGCGACAAAGATGGTGAGGGGTCTGGAGAATAAGTCTTATGAGGAGAGGCTGAGGGAACTGGGGGTATTCAGCCTGGAGAAGAGGAGGCTGAGGGGAGACCTTATTGCTCTCTACAACTCCCTGAAAGGAGGGTGTAGAGAGGTGGGGGCCGGTCTCTTTTCTCAAGTCACAGGCGACAGGACAAGAGGAAATGGCCTCAAGTTGCACCAGGGGAGGGTCAGGCTGGATATTAGGAAAAATTTTTTCACTGAAAGGGTTCTCAGCCATTGGAATGGGCTGCCCAGGGAGGTGGTTGAGGCACCATCCCTGGAGGTGTTCAAAAGACAGGTTGATGTAGTGCTGGGAGGTATGGTTTAGTGATGATGCTCCTTGTTTGTCGTGTGGGAGTCTATTTTTGTCAGTTAGGTTGACAGTTGGACAAGATGATCTTTAAGGTCCCTTCCAACCTAGAAGATTCTGTGATTCTGTGATGACCACGGACTACAACCAGGGAACTGCACTTCATGCAGCTGCAAGCACAGGAGCCAAAACTGACTCCACGCTTGTTCCAGACTGGTTTAGTGACACCCATGAGGGTACACACCACATTCCTACAGCTAAAGCGAGCTTTAGGGGGTAGGGAAGGCTGGGGTTTGGTCTTGTTGTGACAGATAACTGTGTGCTTGCTTTTCAGTCATTTCCAAGAAAAGGCCAGTGTTTGGCTCCTGGCCATTGCTATCCGGTCCTGCCACATGTTTTTAAAAACAACATTATGTAGTACGTGTGTATGTTCAGACAGGTGCCAAGGAGGATATTCAGAAGAATCTACATCTCAGTTCTTATGTTTCAGTTCCAATTGAAATTAGATCCTGGACTACACCTCTACTTTAACCCTTGTAACGCTGCAGGTTTGGTTCTTCTCTTCTTGCTTTATTGTAGCTGTTTTGGAGCCTTGTTCATTACTTCATGTCAGAAACTTCTTTAGGCCTCTTATTAACACTTGACAGGAATTTTCTGCAGCTTTTATTACACAAGAGTACAAGTATATGCATTCAAAAGATAATTGGCTGCCTTTTACCCAACACTTCCTCATCAGGAAGTAAGATAATGAGTGAATAGTAATTATTCCTATGAAAGTATAGGGAACTGGCCCTTTGAGTTTGGGATTTTTTTCAGATCATACCTGAAACTCTAAGCCAGGAGACAAGCCAATCTGCTTGTTTCACTCCACGAATTGCAACATGTGGTTTGTTTCCTTTTAGACCTTTACTGTCCATCCACCCTCTTTTCTGCTTTTTGAGTTCTAGTCTGAGATATTCTGAGCTGGACCAGGTGACAGGGGATTGTTTCACAGGTATTAAATGTGGGGAGAAGAAGGGCCACAGCGTCAGGCTGCCTGAACATACTTTTTTAATCATCTTTTCAGAGCGAGGGACTGACTGCACAAGGCTGGCAGAAACAATCCTGCCTCTCTCCAATATCAAAACACACGTGCAAGGAAAAGGGGACTGGCAAACAACAGCTAACAGTGACCAGGAAAATTTGGATCTACTGTCCTTCAGAGCAGCAGCTAATGAAAATGTACAAGATCCATGTGCTGAGACAAGGAGGCTTAAAGTGGGAATAAGAGTAGGCAGAGCTGCTTGTTTTGTACCTTAGTCCTGCTGTTAACACTTCACAGTATTTCCTTCTCTACCAGCTGAAACCTCCAATACTCATCCTATGCTACAAAACCCAGAATTCTTGGCGTGTTTTTGCATCCAAACACAACAGGGTTTTGAGATTTAAAACTGCAAAACAATTTAAAAAAAAACCCAAGAGTCTATTTGGAAAGAAATTCTCAACTTAAGCCTGACCTATTTTTGATGCGTAAATGCCTCCGCGGGTCTTTCAGAACTAAAAAGTTGTCGTCTATTAATTCTGCACAACTTGGAGCGTAACATCCCCCGTTCAGTGACAATTTCTCACTGTCATTAATAGGCAGAGCATTGGGAAATGGGGGACCTATTTCTTCCTAGTCCTGCAGAAGAATTGCTGTGTGACCTCAAGCAAATCATTTAACCTCCCCGTGTCACAGTGGTTTTTATCTTTGGAGTGGTGCTAACAGCAATCAGTTGCAACTCTCACGTTATTGATAACTGCAAATGCTTTCCAATTAGATTCCAGAGGCCTGTGTGGCACTAACACACAAAAATGATTTATGCTCTTCAGTGCTCAAGAGTAGCAGATCCTAAGGGAAGTGCTGCAGATTGTCATGTAGGAGGTTTGTGGCAGAAAGAAATATTTGTGTGCACTCACCCGTTCTTTTATTTTTTCAGTGAGAAAAGGCTTAATTAGAGCGAAGACCGGGTGGAAGAATAAAGGCTCATTAATCAAGTGGATACCTCGAACTTTTAGTGGAAAGGAATCCTGTGAACATAACAGGAAAAACAGCATAAGAGAAAGAAAATATTATTGAAAAGATTCTATTGTTAAGGACAAATCTGTGAAAAACTATCTAGTCCATAGGTTAGGGTATTCCTCCTGACCTTGCTAACAGCTGCACTTTGGAGTGTTCTTAGTTTACACTGACCCAACAACACTTAGAAAAATCACATCTTGCTCCTCCTATTCAAAGGAAAAACTCCCCCCAAGAGCCCCCAAAAACCAGTATGAGGATAGGCTATTAAAAAAAACCAACCCACCAAATTACACATAAGTTATGTACACAAAGCTCGTGCTCAGCCTTTCCTCAGAGGTACAATTCTTCACAGCAGAGATTCTGCTGTTAATTTACCAAAAAGCTCTCTAGCCACGTGCTTTCATTGGCAATTCACAGCCTGAAGGATTATATATAAATATAGATAAATATAAATCATTGAAGCTACTAACTTTAAGTTAAATAAATTATAAATATAATTTAGAGACCTTATAGAGCCTTGAAATTACTGGGAATTTGCCCAAGCCAGAAGTTCAGCTTTACAAGATTATTGTTGTAATGAAAATTAAAAATTATATCTGCTATACAGCCTTTATAATATAAAATACATCTATTTGCATTCAAGATTCATTTAGAAGTCCCAGACCTTTGCAAGTTCAAAGAAAATATGGCAGTGCTCAAAGACAGCATTATGCAATGGGAAAAGGAGAGCTTCCATTCACATCCCAACTGATACTACCTCTGCAGCCAGAGGTTTTCTGCTTATAAAAATGGTATTTCTCACAGCTCTCCCCACTATACAGCAGCTCTTCTCACATTATTTCAGGCACTCTTCCGTGGATTAAAAAAAAAAACAAAAAAAACCCACAACAAAACCCAAACACCACACATTTCTGAAGTGCAACTTGTTTTAGATTTTAATGATAAAGACCTTTAAACTATTTGATAATAGGTTGATTGCATGTTATTATGTGTTATCATATACTTAAAGGCGTGACAGGGGATTGTTTCACAGGTATTAAATGTGGGGAGAAGAAGGGCCACAGCGTCAGGCTGCCTGAACATACTTTTTTAATCATCTTTTCAGAGCGAGGGACTGACTGCACAAGGCTGGCAGAAACAATCCTGCCTCTCTCCAATATCAAAACACACGTGCAAGGAAAAGGGGACTGGCAAACAACAGCTAACAGTGACCAGGAAAATTTGGATCTACTGTCCTTCAGAGCAGCAGCTAATGAAAATGTACAAGATCCATGTGCTGAGACAAGGAGGCTTAAAGTGGGAATAAGAGTAGGCAGAGCTGCTTGTTTTGTACCTTAGTCCTGCTGTTAACACTTCACAGTATTTCCTTCTCTACCAGCTGAAACCTCCAATACTCATCCTATGCTACAAAACCCAGAATTCTTGGCGTGTTTTTGCATCCAAACACAACAGGGTTTTGAGATTTAAAACTGCAAAACAATTTAAAAAAAAACCCAAGAGTCTATTTGGAAAGAAATTCTCAACTTAAGCCTGACCTATTTTTGATGCGTAAATGCCTCCGCGGGTCTTTCAGAACTAAAAAGTTGTCGTCTATTAATTCTGCACAACTTGGAGCGTAACATCCCCCGTTCAGTGACAATTTCTCACTGTCATTAATAGGCAGAGCATTGGGAAATGGGGGACCTATTTCTTCCTAGTCCTGCAGAAGAATTGCTGTGTGACCTCAAGCAAATCATTTAACCTCCCCGTGTCACAGTGGTTTTTATCTTTGGAGTGGTGCTAACAGCAATCAGTTGCAACTCTCACGTTATTGATAACTGCAAATGCTTTCCAATTAGATTCCAGAGGCCTGTGTGGCACTAACACACAAAAATGATTTATGCTCTTCAGTGCTCAAGAGTAGCAGATCCTAAGGGAAGTGCTGCAGATTGTCATGTAGGAGGTTTGTGGCAGAAAGAAATATTTGTGTGCACTCACCCGTTCTTTTATTTTTTCAGTGAGAAAAGGCTTAATTAGAGCGAAGACCGGGTGGAAGAATAAAGGCTCATTAATCAAGTGGATACCTCGAACTTTTAGTGGAAAGGAATCCTGTGAACATAACAGGAAAAACAGCATAAGAGAAAGAAAATATTATTGAAAAGATTCTATTGTTAAGGACAAATCTGTGAAAAACTATCTAGTCCATAGGTTAGGGTATTCCTCCTGACCTTGCTAACAGCTGCACTTTGGAGTGTTCTTAGTTTACACTGACCCAACAACACTTAGAAAAATCACATCTTGCTCCTCCTATTCAAAGGAAAAACTCCCCCCAAGAGCCCCCAAAAACCAGTATGAGGATAGGCTATTAAAAAAAACCAACCCACCAAATTACACATAAGTTATGTACACAAAGCTCGTGCTCAGCCTTTCCTCAGAGGTACAATTCTTCACAGCAGAGATTCTGCTGTTAATTTACCAAAAAGCTCTCTAGCCACGTGCTTTCATTGGCAATTCACAGCCTGAAGGATTATATATAAATATAGATAAATATAAATCATTGAAGCTACTAACTTTAAGTTAAATAAATTATAAATATAATTTAGAGACCTTATAGAGCCTTGAAATTACTGGGAATTTGCCCAAGCCAGAAGTTCAGCTTTACAAGATTATTGTTGTAATGAAAATTAAAAATTATATCTGCTATACAGCCTTTATAATATAAAATACATCTATTTGCATTCAAGATTCATTTAGAAGTCCCAGACCTTTGCAAGTTCAAAGAAAATATGGCAGTGCTCAAAGACAGCATTATGCAATGGGAAAAGTAGAGCTTCCATTCTGATACTACCTCTGCAGCCAGAGGTTTTCTGCATATAAAAATGGTACTTCTCACAGCTCTCCCCACTATAAAGCAGCTCTTCTCTCATTATTTCAGGCACTCTTCCATGGATTAAAAAAAAAAAAAACAACAAAACCCAAACACCACACATTTCTGAAGTGCAACTTGTTTTAGATTTTAATGATAAAGACCTTTAAACTATTTGATAATAGGTTGATTGCATGTTATTATGTGTTATCATATACTTAAAGGTTGTTATCATGTTTTTCAAAAAACAGCTTAGTTTTGCCTGGGGTAACAGATTTATTTAAGATGATGTCACTTACTAATGTTACTATGCCTTAGTACACACTTCCTTTCTATTAACTCCTATTTCTTCATAAAGGATAGTAATTTGCAAGACACATTTCTTAAGAAAAGCATAGGGTTGAAACTAAGGTTTCCTTAATTTTTACTTATAAGCATATTGAACAACACTAAGACAATCTCTGGGTGAAATATATGAACTCAATTAAAGTGATGAAAGGAATCTGCAAAATAGAAAAGAGCTAAACTTACTTCTCAGAAAAAAAACCCAATACTGGCAACATAAAATTCTTTTCTGCCTTTTTTCAATAGCTATAATAAACATTTAGAAGCTTGAAAAACATGCAACAATGCTTAAACAGGACAAGATGGAAACATCACATTAAAATAATTTCCTGGTTCAAGATAATGGACTGAAGCCTTTAGGTGTAATTGTAAATCCTATTCTGTCTCTTTCTGTTCTATTTCAAGGTCTAAAAAATTTACTAGCAACCCGTTTACTACCTCAGAAATCGACTGAAACACTCTCACATGGTTACTAGCAACTGGTTTACTGCCTCAGAAATCGACTGAAACACTCTCACATGTCCTGTTCTCGTGAGATCTGGCCCAGGATCATACAAACATCAGTAGTTCTTATTCTAGATGTGAAAAGTTGGGAATAGCTGGTGGTTTCACTGAAGTTTTACAACTTTACAAAAAGGAAGAGCAGCTGAAGTTCTGGTGATATTAGTTCAATGACTAAGCTTTGACTGAACCTCAGATATGAACCTTAGCAAATCAGAGCAAGAGATTATCTCCCTGGCTCATTTCCACATCATAACAGTTTTATCACTACTGATTTTCAACCTAACTTCTGAAGGAAAATGTGATTATAGGACACACTGTAGCTTGCCTGTCAATTCTCTGTCCCCTACCTTTTTCTTTTGTTCCCTACCCCCTCTTCCCTCTCTCCTCCCCAAATCCATTGGCAAAGTTCAAATGAATTTGACAGAAAAGAACAAGTCTTAAAGACAGTAAAGTCCCTAGAAGGTTTGTGAAAAACAGGAGGTGAGGAAGCAGTGAGTGGCACAAAATAATGCTCATGTTGGAGGGCAAAAAGTAAGCAAAACATAAACATTATACATTGTATGGGTAGCAGCTGGATGGTTATGTAGCATCATCCATACTGGTAACAGGTTAGTACTGTCTTGCTCTTAACTACTCTTAACACATGCCATTCCTCATCTTCTCTGAGTCTCAGGGAAAAAAAAGCTTTGAATGTCGAGTTAACACACAAAAAATTGAAAGATTAAAAATAAAACTGCAATAAGGTAGATTTAGATTAGATATCAGGGAGAAATTCTTTCCTGCAAGGGTGGCAAGGCACTGGAAGAGGTTGCCCAGAGAAGCTGTGGCTGCCCCATCCCTGGAGGGGTTCAAGGCCAGGCTGGATGGGACTTGGAGCAACCTGGTCTGGTGGGAGGTGTCCCTGCCCACGGCAGGGGGTTGGAACTTGATGATCTTTAAGGTCCCTTCCAACTCTAACTATTCCATGATTCTATGAAATGGGATAATGAACACAGAAAACCTTACAAAACTGGGCTTCATCTGCTCTTACATTCATTAAATTCTTGTGTTGTAATAGGTCTGTGGAGTCTTATAAAACATCGGAGGTTCAAGGACATTTATTGCTACACAAGAACATACTTTAAGTCAAACCAAGCACAATCTATGCCTGAACAATCTGTCTTTTAATGGGTTTAAAACTTTTTCTTTCAAGTCACATAGACTCTAAGAAGGACTAAGGAAGGAAAATTTACCATAGCTTAGAACAGATGAAAAATAGGGAGTTCCAGCAATGAAAAAGCATAAAGCAGAATGTTATACTCACTGTGAGCACAGCTGCAATTTTCTTGGCCACAGCTGGACTGATTTGAAATGCATGAGCAAATCGCCACCCTTGAAGATCAAAGATAGCCTTGACTCCATTGCACTGAGTCTCAATCTCCTTTACAATGAGTTCAGATGTGATAAGACTTACACGGAACACCTCGTATGCAGTAAATAACTTGGGATCCCATTGTCCTGAGGAGTAAATAGATTGCACTGCATTACCACGAGAATACCACATATACCTGTAATTCTGCTTGTTACTGCTTCTAATGTGCTTCTCAGGAACAAGAAGTAACCAGCAGCATCAAACGTCCCAAAATAAACAGACTTGCCAGTAAATAAGTTATTTTGTGTGCCTGCTCTGTCGCTCATCTTTTGAACTCTTTTTGTGGATGGTATGACCTAATGGTAGACGGTTTTGACAGGAACAGCTTAATTCAGTAACACTCATCTTTTGAACTCTTTTTGTGGATGATACGACCTAATGGTAGATGGCTGTAGACGCTACCTAATGTAGTATGTTCCACCTATGGCCATAGACTCCAGTAGAAGGTTTTGACAGGAACAGCTTAATTCAGTAACAGTCATTTTAGCAGAAACCAAAGATCAGCAATCCAATCAATTCATATAATTTTTCTTCGGTGCAGTAATTCTGTCAAGATTCAGTGAATCTTGCTTGTTTTTCTGGCCTGAGCAAAGAATGACACGGGATGAGCCTTAACCCTGGATGAAAGCTTCAGAGAACACAACTTTTCAGAGATACATTATTTTCTACAAGACCAGCTGATATTTAAATGATTCTTTAGAAGTTGTCAAAAATAATTTCTCTGTCCAAAACAAGCACAAAGAAATATGTTAACACATGATCATTTAACTGTGTCTTCTAAAAAGACTTTTGGGAGTGCATGAAACAAACTAAGGATGTTCAGGGTGTTGTTAGGTAGGGCTTTTTTCCTACATCTAAACAGTGAAAACCTCGTGGACTTCTCACCCTTATCTAAACTGAACATTGGTACATGAATAGGTGTACACCTTTTTTTTTTTCCTGTTCTCTCTCCCTCCCCTTTGTGCTGCACGTGCACCAGTACCACAGTCTTAGAATATGGCTTTGAAAATTTGCATGGAAACAAGTAATTCTTGCGACCCAAATAACCAAATATTCTTGCAGGTTTTAGGGTTTTAACCTTAAGACTTTTTCTGATGCAGACAAGAATTCCACTATAAAGAAAATAAGATTGTAGAGTTTTAGCCATATCAGTATGTAAGTCAAATTATATATAACAGTTACAGGTCAATAAGCTTTGTATTAATGTAAAGGTATTTCTAACAGGGAACATAAATATGCAACATTTCTAGTTAAGACATTCTGATATGATCTAATTTTATCAATTCCTGGTGTTGCACCCATAAAATACTTGTATTTGCTGCTCAACTTGTGATAATGAAAAGAAACCAAAACCAACAAAACAACAATCAAAACACAACCAAACTGTCAATGCCAGAGCCAGGTGTAAATCAGGTCCAAGCAATTTTGTCACTCACCAATTCTGTATATCAGAACTTTGCTTCCATGTGGGTCCCTTGATCTCAGGACTCCATGATAGCCAGCATGCAAAAGCCCAAGAATAGAAGATGGTCGTAAATCTGCACTTATTTCTGGGCATTCAACTCTCCACTTCTGGTAATTCTTCAATAACTGGGAAAAAAAAAAAATGTGGATGATGGATAGGTATCAGGTATTATATGAAGAGCACAGTTAAAAATGTGTTTTCAGTCTGTGGTCACAGTCAGAGGTTCAAGTCACTAAAGTAGCTGTCAGTTTATTGTGTATTTCAATCAAATCCCTCCAAGTAGTAGAAGGTTCCTATAATGGATCAAATAAGTGAGTTATGATGAATTTAGAATCTTGTCAACGTGTTAATGGATCGCAGTTATCATTTTGTGTCAGAGAAGAAAATTGGAATATGGAGAAAAAGCCAGTGGGTCCAATGTAAAATACATCTGAAAGCAAGTTTTCTTACTCAGATTTTGTTTGATACTGCATTAGATTCATTCAGGGTTTGTTGAACTTAGATGTGCAAAACCTTAAGAGGAACATTCTCTCTTCACCATCCCAGCACACGCCCTACCCCTGCAAAGTATGTGCCCATTTTATGGGCTCATTAATGACTTCAGTGTAGTATCTGAAACAGGTTTGGTGATCAGCATATCTAAAGCCTGTTTTCAAAGTACCTCCTACCCCTCTGAAATGGCAGAATATAACAATGTAGTGGGTCCATTACCCATGAGACAATTTCCCTCCCCCAGAGTGGAAAACATGAGAACCTGTTTAGCTAAAATAGAGACCCTGTCCATTACTGGGGAGGAGACCACCCTGGTCCCTAAGGCTGGAAGGCAGCACCATCACCAAGTGCATGTGAGGCACAGGAAGGGCTGTGTGTTGAAAGGCGAGGGCCTAACTCTAACGAAGGATCAATTAAAGGCACTCCTTTCTGAGCTAACATCTACGTCGGGGAATTACAAGGGGATACTGTGACAGGTCATCTTAGAGATGAATCACGAGAAATTAAATCGGTGATGCAGTAGTTCTAATTTCCAAGTCTAATTACTGTTTCCCCTTTAATATTAATTAAGTGGTGGTGGAGAAAATGAACTGCTATGGACTGCCACTAAAATTTATTTAAACCATTTTGCATAGGTAAGCGGGAAGCTATGCACAACCATCTTCTAAAAACCTTCCTCCAAATTCATCAACTAAATTCTGCCTCTGCTGCATTACCCACCCATGCCAAGTTCCCTAGCTCTGAGTTTGGAGGGTAGAGGGATAGCTATGGCAAGTAATTTAGATTGTGTATTTACATTTCCTAATAGCTACAGTTTAGACTTCTAATCCAAAACCTTCAAAAGAGCTAAGAGAACCAGAATTTTTCAGTACCTCATTTCAGAAACTGAAATATAGGCTTAAATCTTAAAGGCAGCACACACAGGCAGCCTTTCAAATCATTACCATATTTCAACAAACAGCAAAACCCAACCTGATCCTCAGCACAGTTTCACAAATTAGGTGTGTTCCCCACAATGAAAGCATCAAACAACAGTCTTTTATCTCTGTTAATTTGTATTAACAGAAATTTATTTTTATTCATTTCTCTATTATTTCATGTTTCACAGCAGGAACTGTCAGCTCCAACTAATAAAACATAACTGTAAATAAATTACAAACTTCTGGTATCTGTGCAAGTATAATCTTCTTCACCATTTTCACAGAAAGGATGGTCAGAAGGAACCTCAGTGGACACTGAATTCATCCCTTGAAACATCACAGACTCATTGAGGGAGACCTAAGATTCACCATCCTTTACCTCACAGCATGCTTATGTTAGATAGTCTTTTTTCTTACCATTCCCTCTAATTTCAAGTCTCTTGTATTGTTTTACATACTTTTTCTTCAGCTTAAAGCTTTTCTGCTCAGATGAAGGTCTTGAATTATTTTGAAAGTCTCTCAAAAGAATTGTCATGAGGAAACTATTTATAAGGCATTACTGTTTGTCAGAAGAATTTATTTACAAGTAGATGAGAAACCGAACAGAAATTATCAATATCCTTCATGGAAATAGCATTTATAAATATGTATTTGTAGGTACAAAAATGGAAAAGCTCATCTGCCACACTGAAATCCTATCTGATTTGGCAATGAGAAAGTTGATAAAAGCTTCATTCTAAATCATACACCGTAGAAAGAAACATTTAACCATTAGGAGGATTTTACTGCAAGCTTTTTGACTGCATTAAATCAGTTCTAGCCTAGGCTAACTTAAAAACAAACAAACAAACAAGGTTGGGGGTGGGAGCGAGTAGGGAAAGTGAGTTAATTTGTGGAACAGTAATTCACTCTAATTGCAAAGATGAGGTACTCTGATTATCTCACTCTGTTAGTGCTTGACTCTCTACAAAGGGCACTGTTTGAGCAATACCAGCCTCTTTGTGCCAGCCAGACACCACTGTCAACATACTACGTTCTTTTCCTTGGTCTTTCCAATACAAACACTTAAACAGCAGCTAAATACAGAAACACCCTCAAAACAACTATGCAAACATCTGTAGCTTTGTCATTTCTCCCTTTTCTTCTAAAACCTGTTGTACCACAACTTAATGAACCTAATCAACAATTACATAAATATTTTAAACATCTCTTTGAAGAGCTGCGTGCCAAAAACAAGATAAGAAAAAAACCCGATACATTCATTCAATACCCTAAATAATCCCATCTTGTCAGTACAGTTATTTTCTCATTTTCACAAATACTTTCCCAAGTGGTACATCTTTTAGACATATAACATGGCTAAGTTCCAAACATACTTCCCTTGGTCAGAAAACCATGAAGTGCTGAAGAGAGTTCAGATTTTGAAGACTTAATTGATTACCTGAAATGTTTTAGAGCTGAAGTAAAGGTTAGCATTAGGTGATCTCCCACAGCATCTACAGCTAGTTTGGGGACATACTCTATAATCCTTAAACATATAACAGGATTCAAAAACTAGCAGTGAATACTTAGAGTTTTACTTCATTTTGAAAATATCTAGTCTAACATTATTTAAGCACAGAAATTCACATGCAATTTTTAAAATGTGATTTACTTATTCTTTTTAGTAAAAACAGCAAGGAAAAACATAAACATTATATATATAACAGTCTGGATCTAGAAGATGAAGCAACCTAATGTCAGGAAAAACAGGAGCATTTGTTAGTATAAAAAATGGCTTGTGTACTTATAACACAAGGAAAACATCTCAATGTATAATTATCTGTGTTTACAAACTGAATAACCTACTTATCATCCGCTCAGCATCTGAAAATAGATGCAAGAAAACTTGATAAATGAGGAAAGCTGGATGAAAAACTCCAGTGTCTGGAGTTAAGCATTAATCAAGAGGTTTTGTCCTGAGGTCTCTTGGGGATAGTACCAGATTTCTGAACATCAGAGATGATAAAGTTACTGATTAATCCAAGATTCATGTGCTACAAACCAAAGAAATGTGAACTTAGTACTTGCTTAGAATTAAAAGAATGCACTTGCTACAGAAACCAATGTATCTGGAAAAGAACTAGAAAACAATGCACTTGCTACAGAAACCAATGTATCTGTATATGTAAATTATTTTTTCTTGATGAAGAAGTATTTATTCATATTAACCAGGATGCTAGACAGAATTAGGCCTCTACTGTGTCAGCAGATGCACACAGTATTTAGGGAAAAAAAAGTGTTTTCTGTTGGCAATCTTTGGAGGAGAAACCAACAGCTCAAACTTTAGAATATAAACATGTATATATACACACAAATACACACACCTTTGTGCATATGTATTTTCTGTATTTTTTTTAATACGTGTGTATATAGCTACACAGAATTTAAACATATGATGTACACAAAGAATCTAAAGTATTTTTATAGAGACAAAGAACTTTCCCAATTCCACAAGCGTTACCACTTTGCCAGTTGGGAGCAGACTGGCAGATGGGTTAAGTTGGGAGATTTGGCTTAGCACAAAGGGAGGACTGGCTGACTGACTTGTGTCTCCTCAGCCGGCCACAGAGTGTAAGAGAGGCTCTTCCATCCTTTTCGAGGAATCCCTCTGTATTGATGGAAGAAAAGCAGCCAAGTAACAGATTTAAACTTGGTATTTATATCTGAATGATGTGAAGATCCTCAGAGATAACGCCTGAGACTCAGAAGTATGTTTGACACTGCGGAAAACAATCTTTTTGTGCATCATAATTATTAAGAGTGTGGCCAGTAAGTCGAGGGAGGTCAAAAGTATTTTTATAGAGACAAAGAACTTTCCCAATTCCACAAGCGTTACCACTTTGCCAGTTGGGAGCAGACTGGCAGATGGGTTAAGTTGGGAGATTTGGCTTAGCACAAAGGGAGGACTGGCTGACTGACTCGTGTCTCCTCAGCTGGCCACAGAGTGTAAGAGAGGCTCTTCCATCCTTTTCGAGGAATCCCTCTGTATTGATGGAAGAAAAGCAGCCAAGTAACAGATTTAAACTTGGTATTTATATCTGAATGATGTGAAGATCCTCAGAGATAACGCCTGAGACTCAGAAGTATGTTTGACACTGCGGAAAACAATCTTTTTGTGCATCATAATTATTAAGAGTGTGGCCAGTAAGTCGAGGGAGGTCATTCTCCCCCTCTACTCTGCACTGGTGAGGCCACAACTGGAATGCTGCATCCAGTTCTGGGCTCCCCAGTTCAAGAGGGACAGGGAACTGCTGGAGAGAGTCCAGTGTAGGGCAACAAAGACGATGGAGGGATTGGAGCATCTCCCTTATGAGGAAAGTCTAAGAGACCTGGGACTCTTTAGCCTGGAGAAGAGAAGGCTGAGGGGAGACTTTATTAATTCTTATAAATATCTAAAGGGTGGTTTGAGGGAGGATGGAGCCGGACTCTTTCCAGTGGTTCCCAGTGACAGCACAAGGGGCAACGGGCACAAGCTGGAACATGGGAAGTTCCATTCAAATATGAGAAAAAACTTCTTTAGAGTGAGGGTGCCAGAGCCCTGGAACAGGCTGCCCAGGGAGGGTGTGGAGTCCCCCTCTCCAGAGATCTTCAAGACCTGCCTGGATGCTGTCCTGAGTGATGTGCTCTGGGCAACCCTGCTTTGGCAGGGGAGTTGGACTGGATGATCTCTCTTCCACCTCCAACAGTTCATGAGTCCAAGCAACTTATTTGCAGTACAACACACAAGGAAGTCTTGATTCCTCCATAAGTCAAAATCTGACTGTACACCTTCGTATCAACCAGAACACCTAAAACGGTCCTAGGGATTTAGACAGATTTGAGCACCATAAAAACTATCCTTACAAAAGTCTAAGTGTTATGTTAGGAAAACATCCCTTGGCATAGGATTTCAATGTTGCATTTTTACTGAATTTAAAGATTTTCATTCTTTTCCCCAGAGTATGATCTATTTCAAGTACAAACAGACAGTATCCCCAAGTCACTGAGAACTAGCCTTATACAAGAGTTGTGGGATGTAATTCAAGGACATAAGAAAATGCACCAGGAGAAAGGACTTATGGAGGACAGGAGATGCTAGTTCTCCAGATTTCACATGTCACTACTGAATCCAAGTGACAGCGTTTTGGATCACAACAATGAAATCAAACATATGTACAAAGCTGATACATTTAAAAATATGATATATGAACCCTTTAGCACAGTTAATGGCGACCTATGGCCCTGCTTCTCAGTTTACAGCATATATAGTAGGAGATCTATCTGTACAAATTAATGAGCAAACAACATGCCCAGCTCAGGTACGAACTCATATCCAGATTAAAATCTTTTGCAGCATTAACATCTGATCCCCACCTGTATCTCCCACAGGCATTACAAAGGCACAGAATAGGCTGCAACAACATAACACTGTTCTTTCTGAGCGTTAATTTTTGGTAATTTCTGGTATTGCCTAGAAGTCTCACAGGACAAAAAAAAATCTTATTTACCTATAGAAGGTTTGTTGTGGTGTTTGACAGTTACTGTTACATCTGTGTCAAAGGACTCTCTGCTCATTCCTAGAGACAAATACCTGCCGGTTTCTGGTATTGCCTAGAAGTCTCACAGGACAAGAAAAAATCTTATTTACCTATAGAAGGTTTGTTGTGGTGTTTGACAGTTACTGTTACATCTGTGTCAAAGGACTCTCTGCTCATTCCTAGAGACAAATACCTGCCGGTATTTCACATAGACTGACTTAACGCTTTCTTACCAATAACATTCATGCATTTGAAATCCTTTCATCAAAGCTACCTGCTTAACTTCACCTCTTCTTTGCTTTTACCTCACTTCACCTGTACTCAAGTCGTTCAGGTTCATGGAAACATCTCCAGCCACTTTCTAAGACAAAGCCTTGGGTTAAATTTAATCCTTCCTGTGATTCACAGTGCAGAAAAATTATTCTATTCTATCTTGGGAACAGTTTGTTACTGAACTTAACTGAATAATGACTGGCTTTAAAAAATACAAACAGTTCTAGTTCTTCTCCAAGTTCTTCACTTTCAACTGAACTTAACTGAATAATGACTGGCTTTAAAAAATACAAACAGTTCTAGTTCTTCTCCAAGTTCTTCACTTCCAGCTACCCGTTTCAGGGGTAGATTTTCTTCTAGCATGATGTGTATCAATAGATCAGGAGTTGAAAGCAAGTCTGGAATTGCCCGTGGAAAAACATACAAGATTGCTGTTGGAATGAGTCATCATAAAAAATACAGAAATGAAATCTCTTGACACAATCTACCCGATCTACCTCTTCTGAAGCATTTCCAAATGTTGATAAACTGAAATCAGATAAATCTGTGTCAAATATTAACCAGGGATACATCAGTAAACAGCCTGGTCAGGCGCCAGACTCTTGATTCATATTTAAGCCTAAGTATGAGCCCATACTAAGAAAGATGCTTGGCAAGAGCTTGAAGACCTTTGATTAAAAGCCCTGACAGAGCCACAAGCTTTGATTATCCCTTAAAGGCTGCTGTACAAGTACTTATACAGGAGAACACAGCATCCCAGTGGGCAAAAGAGGGACTGTATCAGCCTGAACTCCAAAGTGCCAGGCAACATCAAACCAGGGTGGGAGGGAGCAGCCACTGTCAGGACTGATGGCAGGAGGACTCTGTCCAGGATGATGTACTAACATAACCTCTGCATCAGGTCAAGCTTGGGTTAGATCATGACCACCACAGATTGTTGCACATTAATTCTCTTGGACTTCAGTAACCAATTGCAGATAAAATTGCAGACATTCCTTTACAAACACAAAACCACAAAAAACCAACAAAAAAACCCCAAAACAAACAAACCACAAACACCACCCCCCCTCCCCCAAAATGCTTCTTTTCTTCTTCCCATGCTGTGACAGAAGTAACCTAGAAATCGGTGTCAGCTGGCATGTGGAAGATTATGTGGAAAATACAAGTAGCTACAGCATTTATACAGACCTGAAATTCTAGATAGAAAGATTAAACACAGGTGATTTTTGAACAGCAAAATCTCTTAGTTCAAAGAAGGGTCCAATCAAGAAATTTAGAAAACTTAGCAGCCTGTGGAGACTCAGAAATTCTGAAAAGATTCCAAAAAGACTCAGTTTTTCCAAAACAGGTCCCCAGCCCTAGAGGGCTGATTCTCCAGAAGAATATAGGAAATTTGCAACTTCTTAGACTCCATCTCTAAACCCAGCTTAGAGTTTACACTCTTGGAGATTAGTCTTACCTACAAGATATCTCATAATTAATCACAAGAAAGTGCAGAAACATGGGCCAAATTCTGAAGTGCCACTGTCCTGTCTACAGGATTATCAGTAATAAGCAATTGCAATGCAATTAGGAGTCCATATTTAGGAGCACATATTGTCTTCATTAAGCCCTGCTTTTTGGAACCAAGGAATATAGAAAAACAAAATGGCTTTCGTTGGAAAAGCAAAAAAAAAGGCATGGTCCTACAGTTACTAGTGTACATCTGATATAAACAATCTTGCAAACTTCAAGCAAAAGCAAGATCCATAAATATTCAAAGGAACCTGACTTGACTTGCTAGTTCTGCTGAGGAGGAAAGGTTTAAAGCTATGATAAGCCAAACTAAAAACACAAAATATAGTTTTTAAAGTTATTTCTGATTAAGGGCTTAAATTAATTTCTCGTTTAGCTCCCCTGATCCAGCAGTGTGTCGATATGCAATCAATCTTCTCTTATGGCAACTAAATTTGGGAAATCTACAGTTGTGGAGAAGTCAGAAACTAAAAGGTGAGGTCTGTTGGGCAATGCTGCGTCCTCATCAAATTCCAGTAAAACACAGCTTCCAGTTGGCACAAGTGAATACATGCTTTTGCCCTGGGAAGATCTGGAAATACTTTCTGTTCAGAAGGGTTAGTGGTTGCCAACCTTTCTGTAAAAAAAGAATCAATTAATAACAATTTGTACCTTTGGGCATTAAAAATACACATGCCATTTTCTGTATGGCGAAGAGCCACACAAACAGCCAGGAAAGTACCAAAAACTTCCCAAAGGAGTGTGGTAAATGACAAGACTCCAAACGAAAAGAAGTTTTTACTCATAGCTTTACGTTAGAGTCACTATAAATCTGTAGTGAAACCGGTTAACGTTGCTAGTAACTAGTAATCTGAGCCTGATAAGTGCGATAAGGATTTCCTTGAAAGGATATTGTTTCCCGACTGAAGTCGTGACCTTACCACGCTTACCCGTCACCTCTGCCTTACGCGGCCACACCGCACTTACCATAACCTTGGCGTTACCTGAGGGGAGGCTGCACAAAGCCACCCGCCGGGCTGCGCCTTGGCGGGGCCCTACGTGTGATGAGCAATTAGTTACACCTCGAAACTCCCCGCTCGGCCTCGGCCGACCCCGAGCATCGACAACACCCCACCTGCTCCTCTGTTCCCCAACCGACCCCTGTGCCTCCCCAACACCCCCCGGGCTGGGCCTGTGGGATCCCCTGGGCCTGAGGCGAGGCCCCCTGGGGTCGGTGGGGTTGAAGACCCGGTGGGCCTGTGGGACCCCCCGGGGCTGAGGCGAGCCTCCACAGGGTCGGCGGGTTTGAGGACCCAGTGGGCCTGTGGGACCCCCTGGCCTGAGGCGAGGCCCCCTGGGGTCGGCGGGGGTTGAGACCCGGTGGAACTGTGGGACCCCAGGGCCTGAGGCGAGGCCCCCTGGGGTCGGCGGGGGTTGAGACCCGGTGGAACTGTGGGACCCCAGGGCCTGAGGCGAGGCCCCCTGGGGTCGGCGGGGGTTGAGACCCGGTGGAACTGTGGGACCCCAGGGCCTGAGGCGAGGCCCCCTGGGGTCGGCGGGGGTTGAGACCCGGTGGAACTGTGGGACCCCAGGGCCTGAGGCGAGGCCCCCTGGGGTCGGTGGGGTTGAAGACCCGGTGGGCCTGTGGGACCCCCCGGGCCTGAGGCGAGCCTCCCTGGGGTCGGCGGGGTTTGAGACCCGGTGGAACTGTGGGACCCCAGGGCCTGAGGCGAGGCCCCACGGGGTCAGCGGTTTTGGAGACCCGGTGGGCCTGTGGGACCCCCCGGGGCCTGAGGCGAGCCTCCCTGGGGTCAGCGGGGTTCAAGACCCGGTGGGCCTGTGGGACCCCCCGGCCTGAGGCAAGGCCCCCCGGGGTCGGCGGGGTGCGAGGCCCGGTGGGCCCACGGGACCCCAGGCCGTTCCCGGCTGGTATCCGCCACCGCGGGGGCTCCTCACACCGACTCCTCTCCTCTGTGTGAAGTCCTCCGTCCTCTCCTCGCCCTCACCCGATGGCGGCAGCCCCCTCAGCCCCACTGCCCTCCCCCTCCCCACCGCTTCCCCTCCTTACCCTCCACGCCAGGTCCAGGTTGAAGTCCCGGGCTCGCAGGAACCTCACCAGGAAGGAATCTGTGAGGGGCTGGGGCCAGCGCTGGCCGGGCTCTGCCTCCGCCCGCTGCCGCAGCTCGGCCACGGCGCTGCGCACCCGCGGAGAGTGGTCGGGCAGGTCGTTGAGGCGCCCCGCGGCCACCGGCCCCTGCGACATCCCGCCACCGGCCGGCTCCTCAGCCGCCGGCCCCGCCGCCTCGCCGGTCCCATTGGAACCCCAGCCGCGGCCGAGCCCCGCCGGGCTGCCTCCGCCCCCGCCCGGCCTTAACCCCTCAGCACCCTCCCGGCCCGGAGGAAGAAGGGGAGGAGGCAGGTGTGCTGCGTGCCCAAGCCGGCCGGTGGTCTTTTAGGGGTTTTTCCACTTTTATGAGTTTCACCAGTTTTTACAATTTTACGCTTTAAGCCCATCTCTTGGTTTTTTTTTTTGTTTTTTTTTCGTTTGCAGACCCAAAAAGGAGCTGGGGGTGCCCCCCCACCCTCCGGACCATGGAGACCCGGCGGCCCAGCCCAGCCCCGCATCCCCCGGCCGGCCCTGAAACACGGCTTTTTGGGCGAAAATAATCCATTCTCTGAGATTAAATGGCAAAAAAAAGCTGGCGCGGGGCACTGCTGTGTAAAGGAGGGGGTGGGTGTTGGTGGCAAGCGGCCTTGGAGCACCTCTTCAGACCCAAAAAGGAGCTGGGGGTGCCCCCCCACCCTCCGGACCATGGAGACCCGGCGGCCCAGCCCAGCCCCGCATCCCCCGGCCGGCCCTGAAACACGCCTTTTTGGGGGAAAATAATCCATTTTCAGAGATTAAATGGCAAAAAGCTGGCGCGGGGAACTGCTGTGTAAAGGAGGGGGTGGGTGATGGTGGCAAGCGGCCTTGGAGCACCTCTTCATTCCCATGGAGATGTGCCGGTAGCAATAACATCCTTCTGCCTGGGGAAAGAACGGGGGAATCGAATCCGGCTTTAGTCAGGTTTTACTGCCCAGCACTGAGTTCAATTATCTAAGGTGAAGAGTTCATTGCTGCTATTAGGATTTTTATTATAACCATTTCCTTTGATTAGGTTTCCTTTGAGATCTCTCTGGCCTACTTAGGCTAAAAGCCTTACTTCATTTACTGTGCAATTTATAAGCTATACTTAGGCCTATTAAAAGGTTGACAAAACTTTGTGCCAGATTATCTTCCCCTCCTCTGGTTTCCTACATGTACACTTAATATTCACTTCTTGATGAGCCTTTCGGTCATATCTAACCATTTCTTGGACTCTTGAATATACTGCTGAAACGTCTGCAGGTATCCCCCTCAATTTTATGAATGAAAAAAAAATAGCCTAACTAAATGCATAAAGGTAAAGAGTGGGAGGAGTGTGAATAATCACGCCAAAAAAAGAGATTAAAACAAGAACTCAAGGGACCAAACCCGCAGATGCAGGAAGTGTTGAAATGAAGGACAAAAACTGGGAAACAGATGGGTATAGTTTATAGATGGGTCAAGAGTATATAGGGGTGGACTTTTAGAATGGCAGGGAGGAGGAAGGTGTGAGGAAGATCAAGAATTAAAAACAAGCTGGAAATACAAGAAGAAACAAAGAGAACAGAACATGGAGAGGGCAGTAACAGCAGATTGTGCTAAAGCTTTTGCTTCTGTACAGAGCTGTGCAGAGCCTCTATGGGAAAAATGTCATGCAAACGTGTAACCCAACCACGGGTGGCAGGCCAAATACAAAGGGATATCACAGTGAGGTCACACAATGCTTTTAAATGCCACTTCCTAATTTTTGAGCACTTAGTTTTGCCATCTCAGTGTTATTACAGCTTAAAGTTTTGTCTGTAAAACATGAAGGGTGAGAAAATACAGATACCTTTTATTACCCTCTTCAGCTGAGCAACTCATAGCTTTTAGCTAGCTTTTCTACAAAATTCACATTCCAATTTGGGCTTCATATTTGATCAAAGTTAAAGTGATTTCCCTCAAGACTATTTACAATAGACTTTAGGGTTCCATTTCTTGGGAGGTGATTGTCCCCCTGTACTGGGCACTGATGAGGCCCCACCTTGAGTGCTGTGTTCAGTTTTGGGCCCCTCAACACAAGAAAGACATTGAGGTGCTGGAGTGTGTCCAGAGAAGGGCAACGGAGCTGGGGAGGGGTCTGGAGCACAAGTCTTGTGAGGAGCGGCTGAGGGAGCTGGGGGTGTTCAGCCTGGAGAAAAGGAGGCTGAGGGGAGACCTTCTCGCTCTCTCCAACTCCCTGAAAGGAGGGTGTAGCCAGGGGGGGTCGGTCTCTTCTCCCAAGGAACAGGTGATAGGACAAGAGAAAATGGCCTCAACTTGCACCAGGGGAGGTTCAGATTGGATATTAGGAAAAATTTTTACATGGAAAGGGTTATTGCACATTGGAATGGGCTGCCCAGGAAAGGGGTTGAGGCACCATCCCTGGAGGTATTCGAAAGATGGGTTGACGTATTGCTTAGTGACATGGTTTAGTGATGGTTTTTTATCAGAGTTAGGTTGAGGGTTGGACCAGGTGATCTTAAAGGTTCCTTCCAACCTAGACAATTCTATGATTCTATGATTGTAAAAATTCCCCAAGTGGGACTGAATTTGTAACACTAATGAGAGCTCCTGTCTCTGTCAGTGAAGATGTGATATCATCAGGGCTTCGCATAAAGGAGCTGACGTATCCAATACCTGACCCTTCACCAGAGCAATTAAGAACTGTTGCAAGACAAGGCTTGTAGGTAAAGCTTTTGTTTTGTTTAATTACATGTGGAAAAGAGCTCAAGTGCCTGAAAGCTCTGTCTAAATAAAATATGCCTGTTTGTAAGCTTTGCCTTGTTTGTGTCCTTGGACTATAATGATTACCTGCTGCAACAAAGACTTGAAATTGTGGCAACATCTCTTAGGTATTTTGTTCCAGTCAAAGCCATGTGAAAAGCATTTACACTGAGGTTAGGTTTGTTCTTACAACTCAAAAATCACCTCTCCGATACACTGTATATAATAAGAAAATATGTATAACTATTATATTAGGGGATGTTTCAAAGGCATTAAAATACATCTGTAAGTTAAAAATAGTCCTTTGGTTGGACTCGATGATCTTAAAGGTCTTTTCCAAACTAAATGATCCTATGATTGTATGATTCTAAGTTTAGAAAGGTCAGGGAGAAGGAGCTGTGGAAGTCAGTGGTAGATCTGTAGCAAAGGGTCTGAAGCGAATGGGAAAAGAAAGCTCAACACTGATGTCTTTTCCTTAGGAAGTGTGAGTCTCTGCTCCTATTTTTATGGGACACTACAAAAAATCATAAAAAGTTTTTGAGTTTCAACCCTGAAGTAGTAGTTGTGTTATTTCTGTGAACAATACGGACCTTGTCTTTGACACACCCTCATTTAAGATCGCATTAGCACACAAATTTCAATAGTAAAAGTTTGACTTTCATAGACGATGAACACAATGTCAGTCAGTGAGGATAGCAGGTAGTCAGCATCTCTATAAATTAAGTTCTAGCCTAAACTTGTGCAGAGAAAGTCATCATGCAATGTCTAATTTTCAGATCTCTGCTTTTTTATTAAGAATTTGCTTATTTCAAAAGTGTAAATGCAGAGGTGTGAGAAAGGAAATCAAGGCAGTAATTGGGAGAGCGGTTTTACAGGGTGCCAGATGGCTTGCTCTTTCCTCTTGCCTTTCTCCTCAAAGAAGCATCAACAGCTAAAACAAAATAACCCTACTCTACCAACAAAAAAGTTAAGTTTGAGTATTTCTTCTTCAAGCTTATCACATATTCCAGGGTGGATAGGCATTTGGGAGGAATTAGGTTACCATTTATTAGCTAGAGAGACATGAAATTGCATGGCACATGGGAAAAAATATTATTTATCACTGGTATTTATTATGTACAGGTGAAAAAAACACCCAGTTCTGTACAAGTAAACTGCACAAATGCAAGCTTCCAGTGAAATCCAGAGCAGACAGTCAGATCAGTGGGACCCCCAGTTTGTTATGGGAGTCTGATCACGTGAAGTACTTTGGAATATTACTGTGGAAGAAATAAATGTTTCAAGCTAAGCAGAATTGAATTGAGAACCCATTATTGTACTGAAGGCTGACCACTTTGTACAGCAAAGAAAAAAGAAAAAGAAAAAAAGAAGTGTGTGGTAGTTGCCATCCTTCTCTGAATGAATACTGTAGGAACGCCTCAGTATCAGAGCTGAAGGTGTCAGCCTTTCCATGAAATTTAAACCCCAAGGTCTAGTAGGTCTGGTTATTGCAGATATAAATGCTTTCTGGTTTTTGTCTGAATTTCGCCATGACCCATCCTTCTTCTGGAGAAGAGAAGGCTCCAGGGAGACCTTATAGCCCCTTCCAGTCCCTAAAGGGGCTCCAGGAGAGATGGGGAGGGACTCTGGATCAGGGAGGGGAGCCATAAGATGAAGGGGAATGATTTTAAACTAAAAGAGGGGAGATTTAGATGAGATCTTAGGAAGAAATTCTCTCCTGTGAGGGGGAAGAGACAGTGGAACAGGTTGCCCAGAGAAGCTGTGGCTGCCCCATCCCTGGAGGGGTTCAAGGCCAGGCTGGATGGGGCTTGGAGCAACCTGGTCTGGTGGGAGGTGTCCCTGCCCAGGGCAGGGGGGTTGGAACTGGATGGTCTTTAAGGTCCCTTCCAACTCCAGCCGTTCTATGATTTTTGTCTGTCTGCTCACTGGTGCTGATAGCATCGCTCATAACTTTGGCAAACCTTTCCCTATTTCACTAGACCTTAACGTTTATAATATACTGTCTAGCAGGGTTGCCTGCTGACTCAGCAACTTAGCAATAGCCTTTTTAAAGTCTTGCTCTATAATATAATATAATTCAGCAATCTCAGCAGACAGTTGATGGTAGGTACACTGGCAGAGAACTTGCACCGTAGATTATTTCGTGCGAGCTTCTAGTTAAATTACATCCAGTTTATTCTGCTCTGTAAGACACTGCAATCCGTGGTGTGTGAAGAGATGATGAAAAACATTCGTGATCAGGAACTGGCAGGGTAACTCAAGGACTGAGTGAGTGATGAAGGGGAAAGACTTTTATCCTGCTGCCTCGCTGTAGCAAGAGTATGAATCACCTGCAGCAAACCATTTGCAGAAGTGACGGTTTATTTATTGTCAGATTTACGGGCATCCCCCTGAGGCCTGGG